TTTTTTTGGCAAGTGCAATTTTTCACCGTAACTACCCGCAACTGCAATTTTTTTATCGCAGTTACGCGTAACTGCGACACAGTTACACCGTAACTGCGTCGCAGTTTGATCGCAGTCGAACACATAGGGGATCATAATAGAAAAAAATTAAAATTACCAACGTTAACCACATTCATTCTCTAAGACAAATGTGTTCGTATTCCCGATGATAAATCTAAAAAATAGCATTAATTTGATTCTTTGAATTAAAACGAAATTTAATCACTGACTTATCACATCATATATGACACGTGCTATGCCAATAAGTTATTCACAAGCAACTTATAACGTTGAGTCTGTATCTCTTAAAGCAACAACAACACCAACGCTGGCACATTGTTAGTCAATTTTGTGTGCCAGTAGATGATGATGAATAACCAAACTCGAGTATGTTTTCTTCTTTACTATTATTCGCTTTTAAATACAGATATTTCTAAATATGTAACAGCTAGAGTTATGTTGAACTCGTGCATGCGTATATAAGGATATGGTCGAAGATTTAAATATGTGTTATAAACAAGAAGCTGATTTTTGACTACAACATGTAAAATCAAAGATGCTGAATTAACTGAAAATAGTGTTGCAGCTTTTGTTTGACATCTTTCATCATTCAATGGTAATTGATAATGAGCAAGTAAAGCTTGAAGATATTTTATACGTATTATAGGATCATTTTCAGATCACATTCAGTGAATTAATCGTTTTCACTGATGGGCTGCAGCTAGTGTTGTGCTTAGGCTAGAATGCTATATAAGTCGTCAAAACATGAAATGTTGAATGGAATGACTGACTTGCTATTTAACGAAAATACGCTTCTATTTAAACGAATATGTTCTTTGACAATTTTTTTTCCATTATTAATGTAATATGTTTTTTTTAGTTGCTACTCAATGAGGTTGTTGTCTGGCTTCACTAGAAAAAGATGACGATGGCAAAGTGTGGTTGCTTCTACAGTTACCAACTTTCTCTTGTTTATGTTTCCATGTGCCATCGGTTGCAAAAAGTGATTACATTAAGTCAATAAGTGTCTTTACGAAAAAAAAACTACCGTTCTCTATCCCAACAAAACAATTCAATAGTTTCTTTCTCTTCTTTGCTATTTCGTTTTGTATGTACATAAACTAAGTAGTCACATTGCTTCTCGATCATGCAATCTATTTTAATCATACAGTGAAAAAAAATGCAAATTCGTTTGCTTGTGTTAAAATTTTCAAAAAATATCGTATGACTTTTCAAAGATACTTACTCTAAAACGTTAGAACGACAATATTTTGATCTAACAAATAGAACCGGTACAAGTATTAATGAATACTTTTTGGAGGCAAGAGACATAAAAAAACTTATTCGTCTCCTTAGATAGAGATTTTTTCTTTCTTCTGTTGACATTCGTTTTTTTAATCGGCTGTTATAAAAATGTGTTTTGTTTGCGAGTGAAGAATTTTCATTGTTCATTTCAAGAGTACTTGCGAAGCGAGTCGGCATAAAATAACAACAACCAAACGAACACATCGTCATCGAAAAGAGACGAAGAAGCGAAAACTCATCATAGAATGAATGCTATTATCATTGTTGTCAAGGTTTTCTCCTGCATCGTAGTAAGTATGAACAGCTAAAAGTCACATATTTGAAATTGATAAGGTTTGAAAAAAAATATCTGCATTCATTCTTGAAACATGAACTTTCAACGAATGGACAATGATGTACTTCACGAGTCTTACTTTCTCTTATCATATTGATTGATTTACTGTCTCGCTTATGGATATCACGGTAGTGGAATTAATTCGATGAATAGAGCTCAACAGGCGAATGTTACTAATGACGTATGTTAGATGAGATGGATGATAGGTGATAGCAAACAACATATGAAGCGATTACTCTGACATATCCACATACTCCCATCCTGATTATCGTATCATAGGCTGTCATCAAATCTAGCTGCTTGTTTGAAATAATTTTTATTAAACAAATATATGTATATGTAAAGTTAATGTTCGAAAAAGAATTGATTCAATAATTGATTTTTATCTTTAAAGTTTTTTTCTGTCTATTATTCGGTGATGATAAATAATCACATTGCAGAAGTTTATAAGTTTCAAAAAAGATATCCACTTTATTGTTGATTTAACTATTTCAAAATAAGATGAAGGTGTGAGTGCAGGTGCAGAGAAGACTCGCACCCTCATGACACAACTGGTAAAATTGGATTGCAAATAACGATATGCTAGGATAAAGATAATGCCAGTATTATGTTCTCTTCTTCCACACCCACACCTATGCTGTATGTTGTGAATAGTCGTCCTTGAAGCAAGAGAGAGAGAGAGAGAGATTTTTTCTTTTTTATTGACATCTTTTTTTTGGTCACTTGTTAAGGGAGTGTGTTTTGTTTGCTACTATTGAAAGGTCTCTTATCGTTCATTTCAAGAGTGCTCGCGAAGCAAATCTGCATTAAAGAATAACAACGAAACGAATGCATCGTCATCGAAGGAAGAAGAGGAACCGAAAAAAATCATAATAGAATGCATGTTGTTGTCATTGTTGCCAAGTTTTTTCCAAAATAAGAGTGAGTATGAATGGGTAACTACAGGTCACATGTTTGAAATCGATCGATAAGGTATGGGTGTGGGGTAACGGTGTGAGCGCGGGTATGGGGTTGGGTGTAAGTGTGGGTGTGGATGTGTGGGGTTGTGTGTAAGTGGGGTTGGATGTGGGCGTAGGTTTGGACGTTGATATGGGTGCCGACGTGGGTATGGGTGGATGTGGGAGCGTAGATGGAGATGGGGTGTGAATGTACATGTGGATGGGCGGTTGTTCCTATAGTCTATGCCCTTATCTACGCCCGCACCCGACACCCATACACACCCATAGCCACACCCTATGATAAGAATTTCAAGTGAAAAGCTCGTAAATGAGTTTTCCATCAAGAGCTAATGAATAGCCGGAAAAGTTACTTAGACTGTCATAACTTCGACTAGATAACGCATGAACCCAAACTCATTTAGGATTTCTTCAGTTTTTGTAAGTCCTACTCATAGCCAAAATATGAGGCCAATTGATGCCGGACAGTTAAATATGTTTCCTCGTTAGCTATATGCAACTAGAGTAGCGGCTAACTTGTGTTCCTATATTTCATTTTACTTATCTGGAAGCTTGCAAAAAAATATACTAAGTTCACACAAAGTTGTCTTTGTGGATCGCAATTTGTAAGGACACAGAACATCTTCAGGGGGTCTGGAAAAATGGTGCCGATACTATCTCAATATTTTCGCCTCGCATATGACGAATATTTTCTAAGTTTGTATTATCAAGATCAAATGAGTAAAATGAACATCTGGTCTCGGTTTGTTATATCAATATTATGAAAAGAAAATCCAAAGATTATCAATATTTTACTTTGGATGAACGAAACAGCATACCAAAAATCGGATGAAATTTGTTTCACACAGAGATCTCAACGTCTTTAATAACATTTCGACGAGCATCAGACGATATGATGTTCTTGAGATCATCGCGTCACAAAACATGAATTTTGGATGCGGAATTGAAGACAAAAAAATCTCCACTAATTACCATAAGGTGATTCGTACCTTAAAAAAGAAAGAAAATTTGTATCAATCTGCATAAATGCTGTACTTTACATCTTTACTATAAAACAGAGTTAATGTACTCGTTAAATCATCAATTTCTTAAATAAATATATTTGAGAATTTCTAATATTTAAATTAATTTATTTGGATGATCAACTGGTCCTAGTCTTAAATGTTGTATTCTAACTTTTTCATTCTTCGATACTATATATTCATGTTTAGGTAGCAAAGATTCAGTTAGTTTTGTATTACGCTGTACAACGAGTGGCCGAAGTTCAGTCATAATAGTTCGAATGCGATTTCTTTTAGATTGCTTACGTAACGAATCATCATAAAATAATAATAACATTTGTTTACAACCACAATATACAATAATACCAGCTAAAAGAAAAGTGAGATGAACGAATAAAATCCAAAGCCATCTTCGAGATTGAGATTCTGATAAAGATTTTATTTTAATCGATTCTTGAGATATTGGTTCTGCTATAATAAAATGACGATTACAGGGCCTATCAAAATCATATTCATTAGCAGCTTTGATACATTCATTTTCTTTAAAATAAATAAGAATATCAATGTGTTCTTTATATTAAATAGTAAAAAGAAAAACTCACTGGAACCAATTACTTCAATAGAAAAACATTCAATATTAGTCGCCGGAAGTTTGAAACCAATTTCACCAACAAAACATATTTGATATATTTCATATAAATTTAATTGACAGTGAAATAGAACTTCAATTCCATCATTAGCTAAAATAATTGGTTGATTATTAGTACATATAGTTGTTATTTCTGTTATTGTTTGATCTTAAGGTTTAATGACAAGACAATTTGAATTTAGACGAACAGATATATCAATCGATTCATTCATATTTATGATAATTTTATTCATACGATTATCTTTATTTTGAAGAATTAATTCAGGTTGATTATTACAAAGAATATTTTCTTGAACATGTACTTGAATACTAATAAGAGAACGTGATAATATTCGATTTTGATATCGATCCATTAACCAAAATTGACCATATTGTTTACCAAGTTGATTAGTTTTATAATTTAATTTACAATGATTATCAACATATACAGTTAAAAATCCACTAAAATCTTCTTGATAAGGTTCACATGAGACTTCGTCACCTATTGATAATAAACAAAAACTAAAAGATTTATTAACGAAAAAAGAAAAATAAAAGTTACTACCATCAACATTGACGGCAAAGATTTTAATTATAGTAGATTTATTAAAAGTAACATAATATGATACTGGTATATATGGATAAGGTGATGAATCCATTCGAATTAAATCACTTTCAATGGATAAATTAAAATAAAATTTTTTATTCGATGAATTTGCCCAACAACATGCTGACTATTGAAATACAAAAAAGTTATCTTGTCGAAAATAATCTATCAATAAATTCTATTAACTATTTTAGGTTATGGGTGTTCGTCTTTCCTTTAGTTACACCGACACCCGCACACTCCTCGATATACTTCGATGGCTCCTGATCTTCCCTCTTGAATAGTGAAAACCACAGATCTCTATGATGTTTCTATCAAAGGTTATTAAAAAAATAGTGAAACGTATTATACTTTGAAACGGATAGTAGTACATGAAGTATAGAGATAAAAAGTTGTCGCCTCCCTCCGGGAGTTACAGACTGTGACTGGACGATTAACTAAGAGGATCAAGAGCAGCTATATTGTGTTCACATTTTAATTTTGTAGAGGATGTGTGAGAAATTTTCTTAATGTGCTGATGGAATAATAATAATTCGTTCCTTTCCAAATGAACAAACGATCTTGCAGAACAAAAAGTTTTTACATCCATAATAAAGATATAGAGATTTAAGTCTTTCAATAGTTAATAAAAATTGACGTTTTAATATTGAATAACCACTTTTCTCATTAGTACTTTCACAATATGCCCATATTTGTTGTTTAAAATTTTGACAACCATTATTAAATTCATCACTAAAACACTTTATATCATAATATCGTTGATCTCTTTTTTTAACTAGTGTTTGATTCCATAAATATTTTTTTGTTGTATTATCATATAAAACATTTTCATCAATAAGATAAACAATCATATGATCATTAATTTGTTCAAATGTACAAAGAAAAAAAGAGACCAACGAAAGCAAATCAGTTGGTCAGAAAACTAAGTTAGAGAGCAGCCAATATTACAAGAAAATCAGTTATGCAATGCGTACGATAGCTGCATATCATCTTGCATGAATAATATAAGATCTTACAAGATCATGCAATAGGATCATATAAGAATCGTACAGTACGATTTAATCAGAAATGGTGGCTTTAAGGTTATCATATAGAATCGTATACAATCTTGTATGATTTTCATACGATCTTATACAATCATACAAGATCCTACATTAAGATCGTATATACTCTTGTAAGAATCGTATAAGATCTTATTGTCAGATTATTTGACCTGGATCGATGCATCTTCATCTTCTCTTTCTAATGATGAAAATCGCATCTCTCTAGCTGTTTCTATTCTTGAGTTATTGCAAAAATACTCACGCCCATTATTATTTTAAATGGGTTCAAGTTTTACACAAAAACAGTTCTTATCGGAATTTTATTATTATGATATTAGTTGAACTATGATCAAATAGCATAGAAAAATAAAGCTTAGTTTTCTCTATCATTTCATAAAAAAAGAAAAGTTTTTTGAGCTTACTATTCAGAAATAAGGTATCTCTGACGGAACTTTCGGATTGACCTAAGTAAATAAATTTTAAAAATCTAAATGTGTCAATCAATGGAATCAGATATACAATATCAATGACATTGTAACAGATTTATTAAAATATATAATTGATGTGATGTTAAAAGAATTTGATTGATAAAGAAAGCAATATGAAATGTTGTGTTAAATTTGAGTTGTTAACACCATAGATAGGCTGTATCCGAAATATATTCAATAGAGTACGTGTGAGCAAGGTCCTCTCGATCAATGATATTCTTTAATCTTTTAATCATCACAGGATGAGTATCTCGAAGGCTCAACAAATCTAGACGAGAATTTTTTTTTCAATATTATGTTTTAATAGAAATCAAATGATTAATTCCAGATCACATTCTTTTATATTCATTTCAAGAGATTTTAAAAAAGGAAATTTAATAATGAATTGTTGAACATCTCCAAATATTAAATGTCGACGAATAATCATCTGTTGAATATTGTTATCATTTTTATTTTTGTAGAGATAAGAGAAGAGATGAATATATAGAAAGTGTTAATGTTTGAATATTTGGATAAAAACGTAAAAGTTCGGTGACTTGATTCCTATCAAAATTGTTGCTTGTCACAGTTATATGATTTAGTTCTTCGAAAGAAATTAAACAATTAAGTTTATTAACAAAGAATTTTTTAGTTAGATCATCTCTGCTTGATAAAATCAATTGTGGAGAATATAAATCGATTGTTGTTGTGTTATCATTTATAATAGTATAATGAATTGAATCCATCCATTAATGAATGATATTTATCATCATCAGTGTTTGTTTATCCAATATGTGTTGAAAGCGAAAAGTATGCAAATGAGGTAGATAAGCAGAGATTAGTCGTTCTCATCGATTTGAATCTAAATAAGCGTTATTAGACCGAGACGAAATATCTAAGATTTCAATTTAATGGGAAATATTCGATATTAACATTTCAAATTTAACAATAATGAAAAATTTTCATCCGACCATTGAAATGTCGTATTAGAATATTTCAATAGAGGTAAAGCAAATATTAATTGATGAATTGTGTTTGGATCTTCTACTAATCCAATAGTTGTTATAGATAATCAAAACAGTCGAGATATTTTTTCCTAAATTTCTCAGTAGAGGTATGAGTTTTTCTGATTTAATTTCATTAATTCTTAATGATTCAAGACAAATAAATGATGAATCAAAAGAAAATGCTCGACACAAATCCAATTTGACAAATAGAGTGAAATAATGCGATGTACATTGGGAGTTGTTATGTGTTGACAACGTCGTTGAAAACTTTTTTTAGATATTAAATGAAGATTAATTTTGTATGGTAAAGATAATCGAATAAAAATTTCTCGAAAGTGATTATTAAGATTGTAAAAAGTCTTATCCAGAAACTCAAATATTTCGTAAAAAATCTCATTAGATAAATCTTCAAAACAAGTTATTAATGATCTACATTATTAGAAAAGAAAATCAAAATTTTTTGAAAGTCGTTTCAGTTCTTACTCTTTATTAGATGTCAATACTATATTCAGTGGGAATCCTTCTACTTCCGTAATTAAATCTAAAATAAGAAATGACATTACAATAAAATCAATGCAGACGTACTCTTTCAAAGTATTCATTACCATGATCAACACAGAAAAAAAACGAGAATGTTGTTGGTTCACCACAGGACGTAAAGAAAGGAAGTGAAACATCGATACGTGACAGAACGATTTCCTTAAACATTACCTTATAGTTAAAAGCATTTTTTCATTCTTTTTCTTATTATAACAATTTCAAGATGACATCAACTTAAATAAATAAAATCAACTAATCTAATAGTTTTCAGATAAAATTAATAAAGATACATTTTAACTTCAAAGGTTTAAGACTAATGGATACGATCTTAATAATTTAGAATACGGTTTGTTGGAAAAAAGGATACAATCAAAGTTCAACAGTGTTTTTACGCAAGATATTCCCACCAACTAGAAATTGACAACCTTAAAGAATTTCACATAACAAAGGAATTCAACGCTGATCACGATTAACGAAGAAATTCAAGCAAATCTAACACTTCGATAGAATACTGTTTCTTTGATTCTTTTCCTAGATTGACTTGAATTCCTTCTATCTTCGATTATGTTGGCTTCTATGAATTTCCTTAATTTTCCAATACGTGGATAGTGACTATTGATGAAGATCAATCAGGAGCAACACGAAGAATAAGACAAAATTGTTTTTGCTTTTTATACATCAGCTAAAACAACAGTGATACATCTTAAACCAAAATTATTCTGAATAGATGTCATTATATGGAACTTAATCGAGTTTTCTTGAGTATATTACTTTTCAAATGACCGTTGGGTGTGGGTGTAAAGTGAGCAACGAAAATTCATTTTACCCACACCAGAGATGTTCATGGCTGCGTTGCCGCATTTTTTTTTTCGAGGACATTGAAAAACTTCATGAATTTAGTAGAATTTCAGGGTTTACAAATGAAACACTCTGAGGATGAATGAATCTGATGAACTAGTACCAATATTTCTGGTCAAATACAGTTGCAGAAGTGAAATTAGAAATACGTTTTTGAAAACCATCGCGGCAGCGGCAGATTTTTCACGAAAAATTGACTTGTTTTATTTTAGTTCTTGATGAAAAATCAATCTTCAAAACCTATTAAGGAGCCTTGATTTTTAAAAAAAACTTGGCATGCGGTCTTCAGAAAATTTATCAGAAAAATCTAATGTTCCAGATTCGATGCAGTTTCATATTCTCTTTTAAACTGTGAAAAGCACAGATCTATGTTTTAATCCTATCAAAATGATTCCCAAAATATTCATCTATCTTTTAATTTGGGTGTGGGTTTCGATGCATGTAACATAAGAGTAAAAGTCATTCGTAGTAAGCACGTGATTATTTTTCTTCCGTTTCTTATAAAGAAAAATTTCTATTTATAGTCCAATGCAGAGATCGAAAATGAACCGAACCCGAAATAGTTTTCTAAAAGTGAACGTAAATTGAACCAAACTCGATTCTATTCGATCTCTGCTTTCTACATATTTCAATTGAATAGCAAGCACAATTTCAACTTGTCAATCATTTCTATAGCATGAGTCTAGTGAAGACTAATAAATATTCAATGTAGATGTTATCTATTGATGATCAAAAATTTCTCGCTATTGAAAACATTTTCAAAATCTTTTGATCTAACGAAATAAAATTATAAACACAGGTTTTTTTTTCAATCTAGAGAACGAATAGCGAAGCGATTGTGTAGACTAATTTCTTTCTTTCATACATAAAGATAAAACACCCTAAGTCGAGACGAACGGGACGAAAACGTGTTCGGAACGGGCGAACACGTTTGTAAAAAGATGCCATCTACAGACGAACGTGTTTTCGTCTCGTTCGTCTCGACCTGGGACGTATTACCCAAAAAAAAAAGAAATGTTTCATTCAGTTGATCATGAGTGATATACGAGGCATAATGAAATTTGAACTGTTACCAAATGAAATTTTATTTATATTCTTTGAATATCTGAATATATTTGACATATTTTATTCATTTGATCAATTAAATAATCGTTTTTCTAAATTTATTCGAAATATTCGATTTCAACTCAATTTTGAAAATGTACAAAAAACACTATTTGATAAATTTTGTACAAAAATAGAATTAAATCCTGAAATTAAAAATCAAATTTATTCATTAAAATTATCAGATAAAGAAACATGTGGTCAAATTAATGCATTTTTATCAATATTTTCATTCAATGAATTTTCTTATCTTAAATCATTAACATTAGTTGATGTTGAAAAACAAAATATAAGAAAATTGAAAACAGAATTACCACAATTATCTAAACTTATCTTTTTTCATATGATTTGTCAAATATTTGAAGATAATGAAATATTAAATATTCTTCCAATGTTTAATCTACGAACATTATCAATATTATCACTTCATTCTATTCAAACATCTATTAATAATACTTCAAATATTATAAATTTAACAATTCATATTTGTTCTTTAGAACATTTGTTATATTATTTATTCAAATATTTTCCTATGTTAAAATATCTAAATATTAAATTTATTTCTCGACATAATCATTCGATAAAGAATGATAATTCACTTATTAATAAATATAATGGTATTCATTTAAAACAATTAATTATTGGTCTATTTAAATATAATTTTGAAGATTTAGAAATATTTGTAAAACAAATACCTAATTTAAAAAGTTTAACAATACATTCAAAGAATGATATTAATATGATTAATGCTGATAAATGGAAAAATTTAATTCAATCTTCATTAACTCATTTGAATATTTTCAAATTTAAATTTAGTTGTAATCGTAAACAT